AATGCAGAGTCCAAGCAGAGATTACAATGGTCTGCACTAGACATAGGTTATGTGAGGAATTCCTCAACCAGCTGTTCTGGAAAGAATCCTGTTCAATATTTTAATCACACACACACATTACTGAAGATGGCAGCTGGAGAGCTGTAGCTTAATTGAATCATCCAATGAACTAAACTAACTGGGAAAAAATGCCCAGTTCGCTGTAATGGTTAGAATGGTTGGCTTCTTGCTATAATAGGCAACTTTGTAGTAGCCAGAAGCCATATTTAAAAAATAGTGGAAAATACTGCAACAGGGAGACCAGAGGTAGGAGAGATAGTGGACTAAAAGGCAGGAAGTTTTTGTAATAAATCAATGTAAACATTAGCTATTGTTCTTTTCATTCAACCTACTTGGTGAAATGATATATATTAATAACTTAACATTCAAACAAGCCTTAGCTTTCCAGCATGAGCTCTGAGAAGGAATATAGGAAAATAATAGAAAGAAGATGAGAAGTAGAGAAATTTTTTCTTGACACTCCAATAATAAACACAATTAAACAAAAGCTACCTGAGGTGCAAGTCCACCTATACAATTCAGATCATTGTGAAATAAAGGATTCTGAATAGGCATAGCTTGACAATTCTGGGATTGTGAACAAGTCCTCACTCTTGATTTGAATGCTTCCAGTTCATTTTTAAAAGCTTCCAAATAGCCTTCATCTCCTGTCTGTCAAACAAACACAAAAACAATTAAATAACCCTAAAATTTAATTTTCAATATTTTTGTGCTAAAAAGAAGACACTGCAGTCAAGCACACTAGAGTCTAATCACAGAATCTATGCTGTTCAGATAAGTATAGATTTTCAGATTTTTTTACTTTTCTTTTTGTTCTCTATGTAGTTTGTTTGTTTGTTTTACTTTGGCTAATCATAATGGAGGATTAATCAGTGACAGATGTTCAAATCCTGATGAAAGTTATTCGAACAATGTAGTTTGTAATAAGTATTCTTCTTCCCCTCCACATCATTTATCCTACAGTGCCCATAATTTTCATCAACATAGCAGTTCTGGAGGATGTAAGAATGGGATAAATTGTCACATGAAGAAAAACACCATCTACACATCTATACAATGACTCCTTTCTTTCTCAATCTTAGGATATACCATTAGACTTGCAAACTATGCAAAATCTTTACCATACCAAATGTTAGATATAGAAATATTTTAAAATACTGAGCTGTGCTCAGCTGTAATAGATAGAATTAGCCTTTCTCACTATTTTTCTTTTAACTTTTCTCTTTAATGTGTAATTGTATATTGCAAGAAAACAGTATGGATTTATTATGTGGATTTCTGTGATGTTTCATTTGCTATTTTAGCAAGACCTAGCTTGGAATTAGTGCTCTATTATCTGGGAAGAGTTTGAAATGTTGGGCCCAAGGAAGGAGATAGAATCCTTATAGCAAAGAGCTTGCCCAACTGCCCTTTAGAGCCACATCCCCTTAGCTTAAATAAAGCTGCCAGGAAGATGTCGTGTGGATAGGTTTTAGCGGGGAGAATTTTTGAAGGGGGTTCTTCCTTATACACAACCATTTATCTGAAGTGCAACTACTTGTCTGAAATGGTATTAGAGCTTCCTGCTTCAGCAGAGGGTTGGACTAGTGGAAGACCTCCAAGGTCCCTTCCAAACCTGTTATTCCTCTGTCCCTTAAGGAGGTGTCTGCAAAATGCAGTGGCATGACACACATTACACCTGAGCTCCACAAGTTGCATATACTGCCACATGGATCCAATCCAAGGTGCTGGTTTTGACTCTTTAAGCCCTTCATGGCTTAGGGCTGGGTTGAGGGGCCACCTCCACCTCGCCTGCCTTGTCAGGTCTGGCAGAAAAGGTATACTGTGAGTCCCGCTCTGCAAAACCATTTCATCTAGTAGTGGGATCCAGGGGCCAGGTCTTTTCTGCCACAGCACCTTCCTTGTGGAGCATTATCCCTCTCCCCCACATGTGAGATTGGCCCCATCCTTGGAAGTCCCTCAAAAAAATCACGATGGTCAGCAGTCTTGGGGATCTCAAAGAGATCTATTGAGAAGGATACATTGTTTTTCACATCACCTTGTCTTTAATAGCTTGTTATTAATAATGTTGCTTTACAGCTTTTTAAATATATTTGTTTTAATATTTTGATTTTACGATTGATTTTTAGAGTCACCTTTTAGAGTCATTTTTCTGGGAAGCTATATAAATATGATAAAATAAAAATATTTTCATAATCTCCTATGTGCAAAGCTATCAGCCAATAACTATTTTAGTTATCAGTTTCCTATGTTATGCTCAGCTCAAAAAGAGGCTAAACTAAAAGTGTATACTTAGAATGGCAGAATATACCTAGAGCAGGGGCGTCAAACTTGCAGCCCACAGGCCGGATGCGTCACGTGGTGGCCCTACCCCTGCCTGGTTTGGCAAAGGGAAAAAAGTCCTGATATGTCACGTGACGCTGCCGTTATGACGTGAGTTTGAGACCCCTGCCCTAGAGCTATCAAAAATCTTCTGGCATTTTACTCATATGCACTGAATTAAAAATGAGCTAATCTACAATAATAAAATTACTACTAATTTAAATAAGGGCTAGTAATCACATTTTCAACTTCCTGAAGTCTCAGAAGACATGTTACAGAGATACATTCAGCCATTTTAAAGTTATGTCTCCAACTAATATTCTTAGTGGGGAATACATCCAATCTGACTATCTATAAATAGTAAAAGTGCTTCTCACAAAGCAAATCCCCCTCCCCCTTATAATCTTTTCAACAGGATGGACACACGTTTTTGCCACTGTATGATTCGTATTATCTGAAAATAGCATTCATATTTTCATACATAATTTAGGAAATAATCCTACATATACTTAATCTGTTAAACACAAAGCAGTATAAACAATTGGGCCCATTTACAGATGAAGAATCTTTAGAATAGATTTGGATTGTGCTTGAGGAAAAGAGATAATGAGAATTTAAAGTCCATTTACATATATAAATTTACCATCGTTATTAATTTGCATTACAATGCCCTTTAAAACAGCTTACTCTCAACAGGTATTTGTTAAAGATTGTTACCACACAACTAAGATCAAGCAACACAACAAAACCCTATGAAACAATGTCCATGATTTGATGAGCACAGTTTTTAATGGAAGGAAGAAGCTGGACAAAAATGTAAGGTCCAACAGAAGAGGCATGATTTGGATTTCCTCTATAAAGAAATGATATCTGATGGAACCTAGGAAGTGCTGCCCTTGGCTGTCTTTTATGCTTATTTATATGATTGTATTTTCAGTTGATTTTTATTAGCCACCCAGAATTATGTTTAAGATGGGTGGGCAGTGACTGAAATAATGACAACAAAAACAGTAATAACAATAATCCCACCAAACTATTCTCTTGGCAAGGCACTTTAGCATCTGGCATTGCTTCAAAGTGGGTTCCTAAAAACTTTTTTAAATGCCCCCCTCCCCCTCCTTTCATGTTGAACAGAAAGCACCCCTCCTCACCGTAGCTCTTTGGAAAAATAGGCGAAAACATCCTCGGGGATCCACATTACAGCTCTTAGCCATTTCTATAATGAACTGCATTACTACAGCTTGATGAGCCACTTGTTCCATTAGAGCTCCTTTCTATAAAAAATAATTCAAACAATCTGTAAGAAACAATCAGTGCATAAACAGTCCTCAAACTTATGTCTACATTGGTACTGGAACATCCGTGATTCAGTGAATGGTCATTCAGTGGGCCATGCCTGATTTTATGACCTTTTTTTTACTTGTTAAAAAAAAGGTCAAATCGATGTGGTCATTAAGTGAAGCCTTTGAGCTTCCCCTATTGACTTTGCTTGTCAGAAGATCACAAATGGTGATGATATGAATTTGGAACAATGCAACCATGGTAAACACATGCACCTAAATTCTGATCATGTGACCGCTGGGATGCTGAAATGGTTATGTAAGGACCATTCGTCATATTTTTCAGCAGCTTTATAAATTCAGCCACTAAGTAAATGTATAAGTTTAGGACTATCTGTACCACATTTGCAAGCCAATAAAGCAAAAATTCAAGAAACCCATATAAAGTGGACCAAACTAAGCTATGCACTAGAAAGCTCCCTTTGATAACTAAAATATATTAACTGCCAAGAAGGTGTGATGAGAAATATAGGATTCCTATAATTATAGAATTGTAAGAATTCAATAATTCTTAGTTTTACAAATAATACTTGAAGATGTCAATACAATATTAGCTCACAGTATGTTTATAGAAAGACCTACTATAATTACACAGACCCGTATGTAAAATGTAATACTATAGGCAAATCATTATTTACAAATGAGTTGCTGTATAGAAGTAGCTCAAACAGTCTGATTCTGAAAACACATTAGACAATAGAATTATTATGACTGCAGTCATTTGTTTGCAGTCCAGAATAAAAAAATGTTCAAGGCTGATGCTTAATAAAAAGGGCCATTCAAAGCTTTTGGATGATTGTTGTAATAATGGCCAATCATTAATGTGAACCAAACACTACTTTTCAAAATGTACAAATCTATGGTTAAACATCATTTTAGCAATGTTACATACAGTAAATGATTTTAAGATTTTGGTTTAAAAACTAATTGTATTATCTATAAACTAATTATTTATAGATTATGAACAGTTATGATGCATTATATCTATTACTAAATAAATTACTTCAGAATTTGGCTTTTATATATTGATTTTATGAAGATTCAATCAGCAAGTAAGAAATCATCTTAAACATATGAGCCTTTGCAGAATATCTAATTCTCAGTGCTAAAATGAAATACAACTTTGCACTACATTAGGAAGTTAAAATATTTAAGTCCAGAAGAAAATATGACACTGAAATTAGTAAATTTCCCAATATGCAATATAGGGTAAATAGAAAATAGCTTTGTTCCAATTACATCATCGAAACACTTAAATTATACCTGTTCTGCTTCTAGATGAAAACACCATAAAAGAAGATATTTTGCTGTTTCTTCACAGACAAGGTATGGGTGATCAGAGAGAAATCTCTGACTATCAAACCATCTGCTCAACATTCCTGGAAAACAATGAGATGCAACAAGTAGTTTTCCTAAAACTGAAAAAACAGTTTTTGGTTATAACTGACTCCCATTTATGCTAGACAGGAATAAATCAGGTGTTTTGCTACTAAAACCCACCCCATAGTAATGAGAGATTAATCCTTTACGTTCAGTTACTCAGAAACAGTGCATCTCAAGGAGCCTACCATGTAAAGTATTTTAGGCAAAACACTTCACTTGTTAAACTAGAAATACATTTTTACTGTACATGTAGGTCATGAAATGATTCATAAGGAAAAAACTTACCAAAATGTCTAATTTTCTCCTCATGCTTCTGCATAAATGATTTAGATGCATCATCCTCAGTTTCTTTCCGTTTCTTTTGATTAATAAAACTCTGGCAAACAAAATATACGATATACTAAAATGTTACATCTGACAGCTATTAATTAATACATTGCTTAATTATCATTGTGACTTGTCCTCAAGGTTATTTCGGACTATGTAAATCCATTTCATTTATACTAATTAAAATACACTTAGGCTCTCTAAAGTCAGTAGATGTTACTTATTTAGATTAGGGAAACTACTCTAATTATGATTATACAGCAGTCTAAATCTGAACTGAATCTTTCATTCAATCAAGGTTCATATTTTTTTCTACTAACCTCTTTGGTTCCACCTCATAATTTCCAGGATGTTAAACTATGATATGTAGTGTTTAATGTAAAACACTAGCTTATGTAGTATGTACTGAAAAATAATAATTTCTTTATGGTCTTTTAAAAAAGCTTTTTAATCTCTAAGACAGTGGCATTTTTAAATTGTACTTAATGCCCCATTTTCTCTTTCCAGCTAAACCAACTGTGCAATACTACTGATAATAGTATCAATGCAGGAAGTGGAGAAAAATGGAATTTTGGTTTCAAAGCATTCATATATCTTGCTGATTTGGAAGCAAGCTTTTCCCATGGCTCTTAGAATGTTTTCTTCACACTCTTTCTTAATTATTTTTTTTGCAGTGTTGGAGAGAAGATCCAGTAGATCTTCTGGCTAGGTAGACATTCTAGTTGATTGCAATAAAGCAATATTAAAAATTCCTACTGTAGAAGCAAACCTAAATTTAAATACTTTCAAATTGCTAATGCCAACAGAAATAAATCATGTTAACCACTGTAATTTATACATTCCTCTCATGTATCTTGGTGTTTTGCTTCAGACCTCAATTAGCGTAGTAGTGCTCTACAAAATTACTTATAGGATTCCAAAGAAACAAAGTTTAGCAATCCAATTCTATGAAGAATTTAGGCATATCTGAAGTTGTTACTTCAGAAACTCACACACAAAGAGAACCTGAATGCAGAAATTTTTATACAATCTGGATCATTCTATACCTTGTTAAATACCTCTTTGCTAACAAAATCCATATTCCATAAATTCTGTCTCTCTTTCTGCCTTAAGACTTCTTCCTTCCGCCGCCATTCTTCTTCTCTCCATCTCAATTCATCTATTTCTGTCTGTGCTTTGGCATGTTCTTGGTCCAAGGATTCTGAATTGTGTAATGCTAAATTTCCAAGTTTTTGCTGGGCTTCTGCTAAATTCCATTTGCATTCCACAGAACTCTTTACAAATTCTTTTTGCTGTTGGCAAGCCAATTCGATTCCATCATTATAAGTCTGCAAATTAATGTCTCCATTATTATTTGGAAATAAGACAGGCAAAATTACATGAAACTTGGGGATAAATGAAGAAATGGGGATTCTTAAGAAATCGCATATGAAACAGTTACATGGTACGAATAGGTGAGACTCAGTAAAATATATGGGTGCGCTTCAATTGATCCTGCCTCTGGCCATTCTGTAAGAGTGAGTGTGTGTGAGTGTGTGAGTGTGTGTGTGTGTGTGAGAGAGAGAATATATACACTACACACTATGATCAGATTTTATTACTTCAGTAGTAAATCTGAATGTCTCACTAAATGTACTTAATTACTATGCACATATACTAATAATGGTACCATGTTACATTTTCTTTATCACATAATTAAGAATCACTCAGAAGCCTTGTACTAGTTAATATAATAAATATTTTAAACTTGCAGAATGATAGAGAAGGATGAAATTTACTTGGTTTCCTTAAATCATTTTGACAAATTGAACTTATTCCACACAGGGTTATCTTTCTTCACAGGTAGGAATTATAACAATGTTCATTAAAAATATACCATCAAGGAGTTCATACTCTATCTCATTTTAAAACATATACTTGCACTGTTTCTAAGTACAAGACAGCTAAAGATATAAAAATTAGTTCCTAGCCATGAGTGAAACAAGCTTAAATTGTCCTTAGGCTGTGTTAATAATAGTATTTTTTCCCTTAGCCCAAACACATCTGTACAATCTATAGAATTTGTTGGGAGTTGTTATCATTACCTTGAAGGGAAATCAGATTAAAGACCTGAAACAGAGACAATAGAGGACAGAGATTGCCAATGGAGACACCATATTTCACATCATATAATTTTCTGCCAATTCAAGAGAGACAGACTAACACTTAAATGCAACAGTAGGAAAGACCCTTGAATCACAATTGTGGGCTTTTCTATTTACAACTAAGTTCAATAGGACTACCTTCTAACTGTGAAAATTAGATGATAGCTTTTAAAGCAAATTTTCACTTATTTGAGCACAGATCCAGCACAAATACATACATGTAGTCCTTGACTTATAACAGTTCATTTAGTGAGCGTTCAAAGTCATAATGGCACTGAAAAAGTGACTTATGACTGTTTTTCACACTTACCATACAACCACTGCAGCATTCCCATGGTCACATGACCAAAATTCAGGTGCTTATGAACTAGCTCATACTTATGATTGTTGCAGTGTCCTGGGATCATGTGATCAGCTTTTGTGACCTTTTGACAAGCAAGGCCAATGGGGAAGCCAGATTCACTTAACCCTGTTACTAACTTGACTACAGTGATACACTTAACTGTGGCAAGAAAGATTATAAAATGGGGCAAAATTCAGTTAACAAATGTCTCACTTAGCAACAATTTTGGGCTCAATTGTGGTCATCAGCTGAGGACTACTTGTATAGTTTGGATGATACTTACTAAATGTAGCCCTCAGAGCCTACATGAGTTGAGTATGCAAACAGGAATAGAATTCAATGACATGGTTCTTTTCAGGGGCATTTATTTCAATAGATTATAGGAAAATTAATACTGATATTATATTATAATTATGATATTATATATTATATATTATATATTATATGATATTATATATTATAAATTATGATATTAAATATGATATGATATTATATTTATATAATAGCCATGTAGAACATATAGGGAGTTTTCTGTGAGACATGGATGCCCCACAAGATCGAGTTAATCTCAATCCCTCAAAAAGAAAGTTTTTTTTTTTCATTAAGTCTGTTAATGATAGATAGGTCAATACTGAAATACCCGAGATTACAAGGGAGGGCGATAGGAAAAGAAGGAGGGGAGGGAAGGAGGAGAGGAGGAAGGAAGGAGGGAGGGAGGGAGGAAGGAAGAAGTGGAGAAGAGAGAGGAAGGAGAGAAGGAAGAGAATGAAGTAGGGAAGGAGGAAGGAAAGAAAGGAGAGGAGGAGGAAGGAAGGAAGGAAAGGAGGGAGAGGAGGAAGGAAGGAAGGAAGGAAGGCGGGAGGATTGAAGGAAAGAAGGTTGGGGAAGTAGCCAGAGTAGAATGGGGCAGGCAGAGGGAGATTCACGTTCCACCCGCGGACAAGTCTTTTAAAGGGCCGTGCAAGAAGCGGCGTCGCGACGCACAAAGTGAAGCGTACCTGTGCATTGGGGTGCGAAAAGTCTTCAACCCGACCCGAAGGTGCCTCACGAGAACGCGGAGGCCAAAGCGCCATTCTCTCGCCGAAGCCCACCCAAAGGCGAGCCGCTCCCCCTCCTCCTCTTGGCTCGCGCCCGCTACCCGAAACCGTTGCGGACCCCGCCGGAAGCAAGAATGCAAGTCACTTCCGGCAACAACGAAGCGTCCCCTATTTATGATTTCACCGCGCTGCCTCCCTCCTCTGACTGACTCTATCGCGTGACGACCTCGGCATTGATGGGCAGGGAGGGCGTTGCTAGGAGACCGGGGGAGTGCGCTACCACGGGGGGCGCGCTTCAGTAATTTGTGAATGGTGGCTCGGCTGCTCCGTGCGCGGCTCCGGCGGACCGGCTGGCAGTCATTTGTTGCCGCAAAATAAGTTTTATCTCGCTTAAAAAAATATAACAACTATACCCCGCACACCTGTGTTTGTATCGAAGATCCACGGAGTTGTTTTTTTAAAGTCACTACACGGGATTTCTGGTTTTGTTGTTGTTGCAAAACAAAAAAACACAACAAACATGTATGGCGCATCCTCTATCGGTCTTTCAGGTATTTGCGTTGCTGTTCTCCAGATGGGCTGAGCTCCCACCAACCCCAACTAGCAGCCGAGCCGACAAATTTAAAGGCTCCCGCTCGGGGAGCCTTGATGATGCTCCATTTTCCCTTTTGTTTTTGCAAGAAATACATCCGTTCCCGAGGGAGAAGGGAAAAGAGAGGAGAGGGCAAGGAAGGAGAGAAAAGAAAAGGGAAATTCTCGGCTCGTTTTAAGACCCCTGGAGTCTGGATTGCACCAAATTCGGAAGCGACGGGCCATTTAATTCAAGCAACTTTCACAATTCAGTCAATATATGCACTCCCGAAGGAGAGAGAGAGAGGGAGAAGAGAGAGGAAGAAAGGCAAGTAAAGAAAAAAAAAAGACAAGGACAATTCTTAGTTCGTTTTAAGACATTTGGAATCTGGATTGCAGCAAATTGGGAAGCGACGGGCCATTTCATTCAAGCAACTTGCACAATTCTGTCAATATATCCACTCGAGAGAGAGAGAGAGAGAAGAGAGAGGAAGAAAGGCAAGCAAGGAGGGAAAAGGAAAGGGAAGTTCTCAGTACATTTTAAGACTTTTGGAATCTGCATTGCAGCAAATTGGGAAGCGACGGGCCATTTCATTCAAGCAACTTTCCCAACTTGGGCCTGCATGTAACAACAGATTGAGTTGAAATCCCTGAACTGTCCACATTGGAAGCCTGCACCACTACTCCGTGCAAAGGAGCTCGGTCGGGGCTAGCGATCCCCTTTCCCGAAGGAAGGCTCAGCGAGGAGAAACTTTCAGCGCGCCAAAAGAGCAGCCGCGAAGCGCGAATCTTGCCCAACCGAAGTCGCATCCCCAACGCGACCGGGGATCGTCCCGTTTCTCCCCCCCCCCCCACCTTCCACGCCTGAAGTTGCGAGGCGACCCGGCCGCTCCCGCCTGAAGCCTCCCCGAGGCCCCTCCCTCCCCTCCTCCTCCTCCTCGGCTGGACAACTGGAACGTTGGCGTCTCCAGGGTGACGCGACGCTTTTCCCTGCTACGAGACAGGTGTCGTGGCCGAGCCCCCCCCCCCCCACCTTTTTCGCGCCGAGACCTCGGGCGGAGGGAGAGAGCTGGTTGGGGATGCCGCTGAAAGTAGTGGTGGAGCTGCAGATCCATGCGGTGAGAGGGGCTCGGAGCCAGCAAGGGGGAATCTTGCAAAGGTTGCTGGAGCGGGAAATGTTTGCAGCGCCCCCGCCACCAATCCCAAAGTGGGAAATGTGCCTTTTCTACTTTCAGTGGTTCATGGAAGATGTGCGTGGGGGGCGGGGGGAAAGTGGACAGAAGGCTCGTGTCTTTAGTGGTCATGCTATTCTGCAAAACGGTAGTGAAGTTGCAAAGGTGAACAGTCGCAGCTCAAACCTGAAGAGAATAATTTTGAGAAATTATGATCCAGCTCTGCTGTCCCTTTGCACCCCACCCAAGGCATTTTTGCAATCATTATTATTATTGATTCAAATATTTTTCTCTAATCCAAAAATGCATTGAAAGAAAGCAAAAGTCAGTTTTTGCTTTGTGTGTTATATGCACTGCTAAAGTGAGCTGCTCCTGACCTAGATTAATAGTGTTAAAATTTTAATCCTAAACTCAGTCTATTAAAGAACAATATTCTGTCAAACATTGCCCCATTTATAAATGTTACTTGATAAATTAACTGAAGACCATAGCTATTTATAAAATTGCCTCCTGATGCTAACTATCATGCAAGAAAACTTATTTCTAACTTTTAACTTCAACCTTTGGTCATCAGATTATTTTTCCAAAGGATTGTTGCAGCACTCAAGTTAATTATAATATAAGTTTAAAGGAACTCTATGCATTAAAACTCTCTATAACACTATTCCTGAGGCTTACTATTACTATTTTCTGCAATCTTTAACCCTAACTTCATCTAGACTCTAACCTCAACCTATACATAAAAATATATTCATTGCAAAGTG